TTTTTTATTATATATATATATATATATATATATATATATTAAATGTAAACTCATCAAGTATTATATATTTCAGATCTAGAGACACATTTTGGAAAAAAAGTTTTCTTGTATTATTCAGTTTCTTAAATACAAATAAATAGAAGAGAGGAAAAAATTTACTAATAAACTTTAACAAAACTAAACCAAATCAAATTAAATCGAATCTAACATATATATATATATATATAATACGCCCCACAAAATGAGGACGATTAACTTTCATTTTGGATAAATACAAATCTATGGAGTAGAGAATAACTAAAAAATAGTATATTTTCTCAAAAAACTATTTTTCTTAATAAAAATTTAATCACTAGTATACATATCTATATGTTATATATATTATATATAAATATTAAATGTGTAACGCCAACGGTAGTTCTGGTTGTGTCATTAATTAATTTCCATTAAGACCACGGGGCCACCGGTTATGGCTTTTCCCTCCTTTTCTGAATCATTTTTCACGTTTTGTTTTCTCTCCCGAAAACCCGAAAAGAGATATCGCCCCGACGCCCCCCCTCTCCTTTTTTTTAAAAAAAATTCTCGTTTTAATTAGTTTTGGAATATATATATATATATATATGTGAACATGTGTGCGTGTTTGAATTTATAAAAGAACCAAATTTCTATCATTTTTATCAACCCAAATCAAAAACCAAATTCGAATAGATTTATTTTTTTTCATCTACAATCCATCCGTTTTCATCGGTTTTGGGCACTTTTCGGATACCCTGCGAATCCGCGTAAGAGCGTGAAAACGGCACGAGTTTCCTCGCTAGAAAGTGAAAACGACATGAAACTCTCATTCTCGGCAGATCAACTGACCACTGCACCACCCTTCACGAGCTTTTATCATTGTTACCAAACAGCATCGACATCACCACGGGAAGAGGAAGTGGGAGAAGAACCCATGTGACCCAACACCAAAACTTACAATGCTGCAGGAAACATAGATGGAAACACGCCAATCGAAAAGCGATTAACAAACAAACCGACAGAAGAATCAAAATCAGACATGCATAACAATCGAAACAAACACCTTGCTCTGAAAGAACTTCGAACCGCCGAAGCACTTCACAACCGAACAAAAAGCTCGATATGTTCGGTCCGAGAGAAAACGAATTCCTCCCAATGCTGCCCTACAGCCTAACGAGGCTAATACCCATCAATCAAATGTTTCACATTTCCAAACTCAAGCAAGCTGTGTAAACGATGACAACTTCCTCAACCGACATGGTGGAATCAGATGTGTTCGATGCCGTGTTTAAGCTCTGAAGGCAGCAAAAGCTCACAAATCACATTCAAGATGTATAGATCAATCAAACAAATATCTATATTCTCACAAACCCAACAATAAGGGTGAGAAAGATGATCAGATCATTTAGATCCGACGTTCGGGCATCCAAGCCAAGAATATCATCCAACCCAGTAGAAAATGTTTTCGAACACGGAAAAAAACAAAAGAGAAGTTTATATCTGAAGGGTTTTCACGAAGAGTACTTGCGGGTACTGCTCATGTTCCTAGACACGAGTTCCAGATGTTATTAGAAGAAGAATGATAACACACCGAATCGAAAATTCAGAAGGGGACGAGGTCTACGATTCACACACGAATTCCCAGCCACCTGCATCAGGAGAAAAGATTGTTTGATTGTTCAAATCCCTTCTACTGATCTCTTCTTCTGCAAAGGAGAGAAATGAAATACTCGAATTATGCACAAATCAGAACGATCTCAATTGAATACTATGATTCCGGATTTCAGATGAAGGAAAAAAAACAAACTGTTTCAACTCAGAGACTCCGAGGAACCCAAAACCATCGACACAACAGCCAAAAGAGAGGCGAGAGCAGTCTGCAGATGAATACCACGGAATACTAATCCTCAAAATCTCCAAAAATCATCTTCCAAGCAATGATTCCACGAACGAATCGGTCACGGATCTCAAAGGAAAACGAACGAGTGATTTTGGTAGCTCGCATCAGAAGGGATCACGATGACAGTAGATAGAGTCGATGAATCAATCAAAGGAAATCCTAAACCGATTGCGAAACGAGAGACAGAGGCAGAGAGATCGAACCCCTGTTTGTAGGAAGAGGAACCGTACGGCGGCGGAGGCCATAGTCGCCGGAAAAACAACGTACTTGGCCAGAACAGAAACGCCATCACCATCTTCTTCTTCGTCTTCCGGGAGTTTTGCTTGGGCTAATACACAAATCGAATGAACTTTGATTGAGTTGTACAGTGTAAATCTATATATATTAATAAAGGAGTTTAAAGGAATATGGTGAAGCCAACTCATCATCTATGTGTTATTTATTTTTTATTTCTAATTATTTTATTAAAATTTTCATTAACTACTAACAAATAAGATATTAAATAATAATTTTATGAACAATATCAATATATTATTTAAAAGAAAAAATTTCATCTTTATTATATATAAATTTTATTTATTATTTTCATATATAAAAACAAATATCAATTAGATTATTTTTATTACAATTAAAAAAAATAGATTACTATAACAATATCTTAATATAATTTAAAAATCTTAAATGTTATTATAATTAAAAAAAAAAAATCTGTTTTAATCTTAGTTGTATATATTATTGAGTTTTTTATTTGCTTACATTTATATTTAAAATTCATTCATTATTTCTATATAAAAAAGAAAAATATCAAAACATTTATTTCTATATATAGATTTGATTTCTACCTTTTATTTGTTCTTTATTTTTATAATACAAACTCTTATTACTTTATGAGTTAATAAATTTTAAATAGCTCACTATTATTTCAAACGACTTTATCCATTGAAACTAATATTAAGGTTTATATTTCCTGATTCAAAAATCTATGGTGATGTGATTTAATAGTATTGGATTAAGAATATAAATAATTAAAATTATATTCAAATGATGAATTTTATGGTGCATTGAAAAATTAATAGTTAATGATAGTATTAAAAAAAAATCGTTTGTATTCCAAAACCGTAGGATGACGTGATTTGATGTTCATGACTTAAAGGCCACGTACCAAAATTTAAGATGTTTATTAAATACCAAATTTTATGGTCCATTAAAACATGTTTAAAACATTGAGCGATGCCCCTTCATTTTGCAAACTTTGTAACGTATACAATATTATTAATTATATTTTCTATTATTTCAGAATAAATGATAAGATTCAATTATAAATTTCCAATTCTCTCTCTTTTTTCCGTGAGTCATGTGGTCTAGGGTTTGTCTCTTTTCTTCTACACAGTGTAACGAAGTTTTTGGGTTGACTCCCAATTCTCAAGATATCAATGTCGTCCCTTTCAATCCGAACCGGATGAGATAGTCAACATTATGCCAACAATGAAATCTCGCCAACAATGACATGCCCATTTCCAAACAAGAGTTGTTGTGTAAACTACAAGACCTTGAGATAATCAGATAGAGGAATTGGAGAACGTATTCATTTCGAGGATGCTGCAGAACGGAGGTCCATATCTCGCTCTCCATTACGCCACTGTCGATTTGGTGAATAAAAATCTTTCCATATATAACCCATCAAAACCTTGAAGGTGAAACTCTCCTATTGTTGGATCTAAGCTTAACGAGATTTGTTTTGTCAAGGTATGAGGAGGATATGCTTGCTTTCATAGACTGTAGCCATGGTTTGACAGCTGAAGAAAACAAAGAGTTATGCCAGATGTGATATGAGGTCAGTCATTGGAAGGAAAATGGAACAAATGGAGGTAGAGAAGAATGCTCGCTGCTTGCCCGTTGACTCTGACGGAAACGTCCCTTCTCCTAAATGTGGGTGGGTTGGGTTTTCATAAAGTTAATCATTTTTATATAAAATTTATTGCTATTTTTAAGAAAAATAAATAGATATTTTTTATCATATATTTATTTGAAAACAAATTCAACTGACTACCAAGTTTAATTTTATGAAATAAAATATAATAAAAAAAATGATAAATAAAAGCATAAACAATACGTCAATATATGGTAGATAGAAAAATTTACAACGACCCACTAAAACCATGAGTTGGATTAAAAAAACTCATATTCAACCCCTTTTGTATAAAATATATTAAAAATTGTTGAGATAAAAACTTAAAAAAACCTACTAAAATTGTGAAATTAGACAGAATATAAAAGTTTAAATGAAAAATTAATCAGCAAAAAATATAACATTTTGAAATTTGCGGGAAAAAAAATAAACATTCATGACAAACTTTTTACAATATAATTAAAACAAATTAAAATATTATTATTGATTTACTACTCATATTTGTGCGAGTTTTCTTACATATTGTATCAGGATATCCGTATAACCTTTTGGAGACAACGTTATCAACCACAATTTGATTTTTGATGCTCATGACTTAATATATTTAATTCAGTTTTCCAAATAAATGCTCAGATTTCATTATGAAATTCAAATGCTCTTCCTTTTCGTAATTCGTGGTCTAGGGCTTTCTTTAACTCTAACAAGGCAATAGGATGTATTGTAAAGGTTTATGTTGAAAATCCAATTAATCTTCTATTGGGATTGGTTTTCCAAATCATCAAGGTAAGTTTTTTTTTTTGGGTAATGAATCATCAAGATAAGTTACTAGAACATTTTTCTATTTGGAGAATGATACCATAAATCTGGAAGATGGGGATGTATTTAATTTTAAATATTTTAAAAAGATCAAACAAGTGAATCGTGGCATTCGAATTTCGCTTCTTACGGATTAAATATTATTCCACTTTCCGCGTTTCCATGTGGCTCATACATCCATACAAATTATATGCATGTATTTATTCATACATTGCATATTTACCTATATATTTTTTTATATGTTGATATTCCTATCTACACAATGTCGAATGAATTTTTAGTCTTCGATTAATATCCAGAATTATTTTAATATATTAGAACTCACCCAACAATATAAAAGTATCTAATAAACACACTGAATAATTGTAGTTTCTCTATCTTAGCAAAAAAAAAGACATTTTATATATTTATTGAATTAGGTCTTTTTACAAAATTATACATTTTTTATTTGTTTCCTTATTTATTTGTCATTATATTGAATTTCTCTAAGTGTACACACATATATATATATACATTTAATATCTTACTCATCAGCCTACATACCATCCACCCAAAATTTGGTTAATGAAATATATTAATTAGTATAAAGATTTATGGGGATACGAGACCCCACGATTAACGAAGTTATGTATTAATTAGTAGAAGTTGAAAAATATGGTATGGATTCAAACATGGTATACAACCTAGAATCATTTTGGTCACAAATATAGTAAAACTCTATAAATGACCACATCTTTTTTTTTACATATTTTTTGTAATGTTTGAATTTTTTTATAATAGATAATGAATTTAAGGAATAAATTTATATTAAAATGTGAGGTGATTATCCATGCATTTTATTATATCACAAACTTATTATTGTTGTTGTTGCTGCTATTATTGTTATAGAAATGTAGTCCAAATATTATTTATCTGATTAAAGTTTTTTGGTTTTATGTGAAAAGTAGTATTTCATTTACAAGACATATATATACACATTTTTTGGATAATTGATATTATTATGAGTAATTAATTCATAGGTATTAATCGTATATTTGGAGGGTCTAAACAATATATGAAAGAGAGAGAAGCAAAGGAATTAGAAAATACAAGGTACTAAATATCCTGAAGATTTATTGGTTGGAGGACATATACAAAAAAATTATTAGTTTTAATAAAAACAAATTATAATAAAATTTAATGATAAAAAATTCTTTAAAGGAGAAATGAATAACCAAAAATGGAATAACAAGAGAAATTTCACAAAATACAATTATTTTTACTAAAATTAGTACTGCAAAATCTAGAATAAAAACCTTTACACCTGATAATCGTATACAATTGTGATGGGTGATTTCGAGGCTCAAATACGAACAAAAGAGATGCATTTGCAAACGGAATTCATGTTTGTAACTTATTGGCCGTACAAAGAAAGTAATTATATACATATATACATACGCTATATATATAATATAATTTTGAACCAGACAGAAAATATGATGTACATTTCCACCTATACATTTACATAGATTGAACAATGGTGGTATTTGAATTTGTAAATATTTGTGCAAGAGTTTTTAGAGAGTTCCACCAGTTCGGTCTGCTGAGTAAGGTAGTAGGGCCGAAGAGCTCAAGATGGTCGCTGCACGAGATGATCCCAATGATCGCCGAGTCTCAGATGGAATACAGAAAAGTGATGAAGCGAATGTATGATCGTAGTCTTGCTTTCTCACGCCCGAACAGTGCAGCTTCCATTACGATGGTCAGTTAAGAAAGCTGATCACTACACTTCCTTAGTAACTATGTCACACTTACTTTTGATACTTGAGTTGAGAATTGGTCTTTTCATGAAACAGGTTCAAAGATCAATGGAAAACCAATACCCAAAAATATTTTAACTGTGCAAACAAGTAAAAGAGATTAAAAAAATTGATTTTTCTCATTCTATATATAACATCTTGAATGAGATTTCACAAATATTATTTTTAAAATAGTTATCTTATAAGAAATTTTATAAACATTATTATTTAATCTAGAAATGAATAAAATTTTTGATGATTTCTTTTTCCCTCTCCGTGGATATTGAAATAGTTTTTAGTTCGAAAACGATATTAATAAATAATAAAAAATACAAGTTTAAAAAAAAAATTAATAAATAATAACGTTTTATCTTCAATGGAAAACTGATAATATTTTGAAAATATAAATTCATCGAAAAATTTTATTAATTACAATATACATATATATTACATATGTGTTTTATTAATTATAATTTATTTTATTATATATATATATATATATTTAAATAAATATTTTAATTTAAATTTTGTTTAAAATAGTGATGTGACATAATTATACTGATGTGTACATGATTTGAAAATCATGTCATTGTCACATCATCATTTTTGTTTGAAATATATAACACGAATAATTTTGGATAAATTCTTAAAAAATTTAGGGTTTTATGGGTTAATCATTGTAAATATAGGGTTTACTTAGTAACAAAAAAAAAACAAAAGGTTATTTCATTAACGTGACTCCCTAAAAAATAGGGGTGTAAAATGGGCGGGTCGGGCCGGGTTCGGACCGGGTTCAATTCGGGCCTAGAATTTTTCGGGCCGGGCCGGCCCACCCATTTATTTTTCGGGTCTAGGATCGATGGCCCGGAGCCCGGCCCTACAGGACTTCGGGCGGGTTCGGGTCGGGCTTCGGGCTTTTTATTAAATAATTTTTTTTTGCGATAATAATAATAATAATAATAATATGAAACATTTAACAAAAATATTTTTAAAACCGATAACAACAAAGTTATTTAGTTCACAAATAAAAATAAAATTGAAAAAATTATCAAATTGTTTAATTCTCCAACACCATAACATGCGATTAAAAACTTTTAAACGTGATAAAAAATAACAAACATAATATAAAAAAAAATTCTATGATGTAATTAATTTAAAACCTATAGAAAAAAATCAATATGTTCATATACAAACAAAGATTTAAAAATATATATATTTGAAAACTTCTACCCTTTCTAAAATGTAAACTTATATATATTATATATGATATAATATGGTTAAGAAATTCAAAATTCCCGTCACTTTAAAAAGTTTAATTGGAACCAAGATATAAAAGTTCATCATTTGGTTCAAATATATATATATATATATATGGCCCATGTCCTTATAATTTTCGGGCGGGTTCGGTCCGGGTTTCGGGCTCCGGGCTTAATTGACATCCCTACTAAAAAATCTCATAAAGTCATAATTATTATATCGATTAAATATGCACTTTACTATAAAAAAATACATAAAATTATATTGACAAATCGTATTCAATGCATATATAAAAAATAATTTTGTAATACAATAATATAATAATATATAAAAATAATTTTAGTTATATTTATATCAATGCTTTTCATATTTTATATTAACAACAAAAAGAATCAACCGCGCATCGCGCGGGTCTCATCTAGTTCCTATAAAGAAATTGGAGAGAATATCTGCACGTTCAAATACCGAAAGCTTTCATTAGGGGATGACCATTCAAGGCACTCTGAGAAAGAAATTGGAGAGAATATCAACATTCAACAGCTCCTAGCAAACCCTCCAAGAAGAACAGATTTCATTTGTATTTTGGAACAGATTCAGCGAATGCGAAGGCTTGGAAATAGGTCTTCAACTTTTCTTCGGCAATATTGCATTTGAAGCTGAATGCGGTGAACTCATCTTTAACCTACCAAAATTTTTCACCGTCTGTTACAATGTTCAAAACACATTTCAAATCTCTAGTATCCTTGGGATTTCCAAGGTATAACCCGTGAAATCTGATCCCAATTTAAATCCTTTTCAAAATCAAGACAATCTCTACAACAACTTATTACCACCTCATATCGTCAAGTCATAGACCTACATGCGAGGCGGGGGCGACAGTCAATGGGAATCTGGAAGAGTTGCTGCAGGATCGGGATGCCATGCTGCTCGAAATCCGGCATCATTATGCCGACGCTGTCTCGTCGGGATGATCAAATTCGTCCAGGGGATTGGGTGTTCCTGAAACTTCGACCATACATTGATATGCTTGTAGTTGTACGTGCTTCCCTTTGTTCGGCTCCAGGACCATCAAACTGATCATCACAACAATCACACTCACAAAATACATGTCCTATTTATCAATTCAAACAATATCTGCAACTAAATCATCACGGAAAGAGAGACACCAATGGCCTCGAGCTCAAACCGAGAGGAAGCTTGGGAGGAGACAACCTTGATGGGCTCGCCATCAACACTGATGGCCGACGCCAAACGGTTACCCAAAATGCGGCAACAGGTTCCGAACCCAAAAACCCGATAAGCATGACGTATCCCAACCCTATTCGTAAGTGCCTGAATGGTAGAACCTTGACCCGTTACCTAGTACCTACCAGGCAAACTCCCGCTCTACACCGGTTTAGTCTTTGCACAGAAACCTGTGAATCTGGCGTAGCTACGGTCACACAACACATTAACATGTACCGTCTTCAAACATATGCTATCTAACCAAACAGATAATGTCTCAAGAACCTTCATAACGAAACGAGTCATTTGAAGAAAGAGACTGAGTCGACTGTAAGTGTCACCAGTTATTAACGACTAGAATAGAAGATTTCATATGGTAGCCTCGACTTCATCGGTGTTGCTAGCAAGGGCACCATTGGTGGTGTCTTCTGTCCGGAGCTGAAAGGATGCATCATCGATAGCAGAGTTGAGCTGTGCAATCTTTTCGGCTAATACTTTCCGTGTTTTCTGCATATTATCATGACCATCAATGTTAAAAAAAATCCAGGGAAGACAAACAACTCTATGGAAGTGAATTACTACAAAATTTGAACAGATAAATGTCAAATTGCACCAAGGACTACCAAAACCACAGGATGTAAGTTATAATGATCACTGTAGCAGCGTCGACTCATCTCCAAAGCCTTTTCCTCATCGTATATGAATTTAGGCAATTTCTTCATGAGATCCTTTCGCCCTGCTCCAGCTAAAGCCCTGCTGATCTGCAAATAAGAAGAAAGTGATTATTGTGACTTACGCTAAAGCAAGAAACAGGGAACTGTTTGAAGTTCCAAGGTAATATCTCGAGGTATCATATATTTTTTTTCTAGAGCATGACGAATCCCTCCTTCTACCGTATTCCGCGATTATATCATCAGCAGGAGAATGGCAATGGAAACTATAAATATACGCCCATGTTTTGTTGACGGATCTTAATCTAGTAAAACACAGATTCGAGATTAATGGCTTCAAAGGCTCAACTAAAGGTCATCGATTAAACCATGTGAAAAAACTTATCACCTGAGGAGCGTATACACATCCAAGGGCACCAACTATGAGTCCTCCCAAAATAAACCCTCCAACAAATAGGCTTGTGCTGCTTGCCCCATCATCATCTCTGTCATTTCAAATGCTACAAGAAATCAAGATAGATATAGAGATACAAGCGGGCACTTGGATCTCAGGAACATAGGAAATGAAGCCATAGATTAAATGTTACTCGGGTCTAAGCTGTTTACACAGTCAAAGTATCTCCTTTACTAATCATCATGTCCAGAAAGCATTACAAGCTATACACCTTAAGCAATAATGAGGAAAACTAAAATGTTGATCTTTATCAAAATTTAAATTGATATCCATTCGTCTTTCGACAAATCATTTATCAAATCTTTAAATAACAGAAAAGAAAAGAATCAACTCTATACCTGTATGCTGCCTGAATGGTAAGGGGCTTTCGGCATCTGGGAGCAGAAAACTGCAGTTTGTTGGGGCCACGCAGTCCAAATGAGATATTGACAGAGGGTACACTACCAGGGACTTGAGTTCGTGTCTTCAGAGTAAGGCCTAGAATGGATTTAGTGAGAATAAGTAAGGATTTCTGAGGCTCATGTCCACAGTTCCTAAAAGGATGGTGAATGAGAGGGGGAGAGAGAGATGCTGCTTAAGAAGCTCTTGTACCAAATCATATGCATATCACGCAAAAACCTCACTGGGAACGACAACAAGATTACATGTTCATCAGGGTAACGAAAAGAATGCTTAGATTCATAATAAGGAATAACAAAAGGCAGGGGATTTTCCATGGTAGTAGCAGGGAATCTCAAGATCCAAATTATGCTGACCATTGCACTCAGACGCAGGTTAAAAGGAAGAGAATCAGGTGAGGGAAAAAAAAGCTTCTTGAACACTTGTTGTGAACCTCTTCAAATTTAAACCTGTTTAGAAGGGAATCTAGAAATAGATTGCAACATCTTCAACCATATAGCCTTATGTCCACACCGGCAAGCAGACACGTACGATTCCGATCCCAATCCCAATCAAGTAGATGTCGTAACGCGAGCAATACCTCCACTGATGAGTCAACTAAGAAATCTGGATAAGCTTTCACCTGAATCCTCCAATATCATAATATTGGCGGAAACCTCTCGATCTGTTTCCACATATTAATGCGACCGAGTGATACGAAATCCGAAACAGAACACACATGACTAAAGGAAACATCAAGTTTCACCAACTATGAAGGACCTAAACAAGTAGAAATCGAGATTTTTCAACAACCAGAAGAATGCGAAGATCGTCAGGAGACGGAAAGAGAAAAACATAAGTGGATAATTACCAGATGATGGATGAAGTTGGGAATTCTTCGACAGAATCAACGAGCCAGAAATAGCCGCCATTGCTTGATGAAGCTCGAGCTTGAGAGAAGAGACAGAAGAAAAAACTGAGATTTTTTTTCTCATAACATTTGGGACGAGGAAGAAGAAATATACAATTCGATGATATCTAAGCTAAAAAGCTCGGAAAAGTTATTTTCCTTAAATAGAAGCCTCCGCATCAACTAGAGGGTTTCAAATTTTAAAAAAAATCCATTAAAAAAATTTAAACTCCATATATATATTTTTTATCCTATTAAACTCTATATTTCTTATATCTAATAATAAAATACTTATATTTTTTAAAAATTAACAAATAAAAACCTAAACACAAAAATTAACTATTCAACATTAACATAACAACAATTTAATCATATTCATATTATACATCATCAATCATATCATATTTAATAATAATATTAAATTATAATAATATTAATAAAAAAATTACTCATATACATATACATAAGGTTGCGCAACTACAATTACCAACCAGCAGTATTTTGATATATTTTCTCTAGTAAAAAGGATTTAATTATCACGTGAACTCGAGTAAAACAAAGTCTCCATTATCTTCAACAACAACTTCTTTCATGTTCGGATTTACGTGCGATATCTAGAGTTTTTTTTTTTATAACGGTCCGATTACATCCACACTACACTCGAGACCAGTCTTTATATATGGACCATTTTGGTCCAAAAATTACATCCTCTCCATCTCATCACCTATAAAATCGAAACAGGATCTTAAAGATGGTTTTGTCACTTTTAAAGCCACAAACTGTTGGATTGTAATATTTAGAGTTGTTTCTTTTTCGGCTTAAATTCCGCATCCTTCCTACAGCCGAAACATAAACGGCATTATCTCCTCCCGAGTCTTGTCCGGCAACTCGTCAGCCATATTCACCACGAAAACGCTGTTTGAAGAGATTTTCTTTGTTTACAAATATTAATAAAGCGCTCAATATATCAATGTCGCTGTAGTATAGTGGTGAGTATTCCCGCCTGTCACGCGGGTGACCCGGGTTCGATCCCCGACAACGGCGGGGTTTTTTTTTATTTTATATTCACCTCCAACGGCGGTTTTTTTATTTATTTTATATTCACCTCTTCATGAGTTCTGTTGTCTAACAAAAAAATGGTTTTTCTGCTTCCTATATTCGTTCTTCTCCGTACGTTCCCGGTTTAAAGACGTTGGAAACTCCAAACATTAAAAAAAAAATGCAAAAAAAAAAAATTACAAAAGAAGAAGAAAAGGAAAAATTTTAAAAAAAAATTAAAATCGAAAATTGCACCACCGGATTTCACTCGGTACATCGCCGGCGGAAAAATTCTTCTCCTTCTGCAGGTTTTTTTTTGGTTCGTTTTCTCTGTAGATTGAATTCATGATCGCTAAGTCGGATAGCAAAGATAGAGATTTTTTCCGGTGATCCTCATCCGTTGAGATATGGCCGGAGGCGGCGGCGGCGACGCTGCAGAAGGTCCGAGAGAGCTCGATCAGACACCGACGTGGGCTGTCTCCACCGTTTGTGGCGTAATCATCTTGATCTCCATCGTCTTGGAGATGTTCATCCACAAAATCGGAGTGGTAATGTATACACGATGCGCATATACATCGATTCGAATGCGGCGTTTCTGCGTGATTTCTCTGGTTCGTGTTTTACATGATGTTTTGCCATTCATACGTCGTCTCAGATCTTCGACAGAAAAAAGAAGAAAGCCTTGCTCGAAGCTCTTCTGAAGATAAAAAACGGTATGATTTCTGGGAATCGCTAATCGTTTTTTTTTTCCGTTTTATTTGAAACCGTTTGTTCTGTGGTTTCATCAGAGCTTATGGTTTTGGGATTCATCTCTCTGCTTTTAACGTTTGGGCAAAACTACATCGCGAGCATTTGCGTGCCGTCCAGATACGGACAAGCAATGTCGTTCTGCGGTCCGTACGATGGTCCTGACATGGATCCAAAAGCGCAAGTTCACGGTATTCACGCTCTGCACAAGCCCCACCACGACAGACGTCTCCTCTCCCTCGAGCGTCGCATTTTAGCTGACTTTTCTCCAGTGAATTGTGACTACGTAATGCTTCGCTCCTTGATATGCATATTCCCCGTTTCCAAACTAAAATCAGAATGTGATCATCCGTTTGTGTTCGCATAGATGCTTCACAGGTCATTTGAATTTGTTCATTTGTGAGAAACACAATTCAGGAGATTGGTGAGAGAAGATGATGGAATTATAATGGAGCTTTTGTCTGCCTCTTTTTATATATACATGCATATTGTTGGTTGCAGGGTTATGTGCCACTTATATCGCTCAACGCCTTGCATCAGATTCATATCTTCATATTCTTTCTGGCCGTGTTTCATGTGATATATAGTGCCATAACCATGATGCTTGGAAGAGCAAAGGTGAGACTAACTCTGCAAGGGTGTGATATTTGTGTCTGTAAATTCTTGAGGGCAAATCTTTGGATGGCTTACTCATTTTTTCCTGTATGAAGATCCGCGGGTGGAAAGAGTCGACAGTT